TTACAGTATCACCATCTTGTCCATCAATCCTAACACTGCAACATGACATTGGTTTAAAGAACAAGGAGGACTCCTGACAGAAAAAGCCATTGGAAATCAACAGCATGAGAGGATTCAGCCCTTATAAAACTTAATTCTTCACTGTGACCCAATCACTGCTGTGACCTGTAACTTGACTATTGCCATTCTATTTAAAATGGAGAAAAATCTCCTCAGCCGTAGGGAGGAGCCAAAAGGTCTCAGTTATTAAGGCAACAAAATAATCTCACTTGTTTATTACAAGTTTCACTTGTGTAAGGTCTTTGACATCCTTACTTCTGCTGGTTTTGGAATTACAGACTGCAACTGACCACCCCCCTTGTTGGAGAAGGCCACATTGAAACAACATATCCTTTACACATCAGGTGCTTATTTTAGCAGCATTGAATATCTGCACAAACCACTGATGACAGCAGCTTCACTCCAATACAGTCTCAGTGTAGAAGACCAGGAAGAAACTCTTCAGGAAAAAGGCAGGTGGAATGAAAGCTAGGTCAACAAACTTGCCTGTCAGTCATAATCCTCAAGTGCTGTTATTAGAGCATATATTAGTTAGATCCCCCCAAATGATAGTCTATATTTCCCTCTGTTTGCTCAGTAAGATTTTTAATTTAATAAGGAGTAACCATGAAAACATCATCTAAAATCCCAAATACCAAAATCTTAACCAGATCTCCAAATAAGTGATTACCAGTTCCTCTTCGTACAACTCGTACAACAACTTAGTACTTGCTAAAGCACTAACAAGCCACGTATTCCAGCTGGCTTTCCCTTCCAGCCCCGCATATAGTCATTCTGGCTCTAGAGTCAGAAGTATAGAACACACACCTCAGCACAGTACAGAAGCTAAAGTCGCTTTTACTTATTCAGTCACAATAAAGGTACTCTACAGCCTCTGGGATAGTTTAGCTCTAGTCCATAAACGACCTCAAGACACACTCTGTGATTAGATCTTTGCACAAAACTCTTCAGAATCCCTTAAAACAAGGCACAGATGTCAGCTTTTGTAAGTAAGGGAAGACTGTCTGCGAAAAGAAGTTGACACAGAAACCCAGTAGTTGAACAGCTAAAATCAGTAGTTGAACAGCTAGCTCTTTCCAACTTCAACAAAGACAGCACCAATAGCTAGATGAAACAAAGTAACAGATAATAAAAATGTATTTTTTAATAGACAGCTTTGTGGAAAACTAGTATGAAAGCAGACAAGTAACCACCTCATGGCTTTTATGCTGTGAGGAGTCTGGCATTCACAAGAGGGTTTCACAAGCACATAGTGATTCTGTGACCTACTGCAGACCCTTTCTAATCCACACCAGATCAGAAATCAGGAAATTACAAAGAAAGCTTTGGCAAGACAACTACGAGCTAAAGCTTTTCATATCAATCTTTAATTCCTTCTATATGAGAAGGTATCCATCATAAAAAACATCACTGAACTTACAGAATTATCACAGAATTGATAAACAGCATTTGAAGAGGTGGCAGCTACCAACAGAACTCTTCAGCTGCACATTGATTCAAAGCATTCAATAACTGTAGGAAGAAAATACCCTCTGAAAAGGTTCAGTCTATACACGATCAGACAGTCTGCGCAATAAGTAAATAAATAAACACTACCTTTACTATGTATCATAATAATTGTATTCCAGGTATACCTTAAGTCTCCTCCCAAGAATTTTTAAAAGCAAAATTACTTTAATAGACCCTTATTGCTTCCTATAACAAATTTCAAAGACTAGATGGACATGTGACATGTACAGTAAAAAAGGAAGAAACAGTCTGTCAGTGCAAGATGTTAACTACTGCAACCTGCAAGCAGTATCTATATAGGCTTCCATTTGGTTCCTCTTTGCAGTTCACCCAGAATTGCTTTTGGAGACTGAACTGTGCCATAAGGGACAATCAAAATAATTTAAAAACATTAATGAAAATATACCAGTTGTCTAAATAGATGGCATCTTCAGGGATACTTTCTCCCTCCATTCTTTAGAACACAAACTAGTAAAATATAAGAAACACATATCATTAGAAGTTTGTGTGACAAGAACAAAGAAATCCTTTTGTCTCAATATGTACCATGTGTAGATCTTTTCATACATTATGAGCATTTGAAAAAGTATTTTCCAGGGGAAAAGGTTTATTCCTTTGGTTTTGGATTAAAGCTAGGAAGAGAGCTGAAATTCTCCTCCCCACCCCCATCTGCATGCTAAAATTGTCAATGTCTGCAGAATGTGGAAATGTATGACTAACTCATAGAAAAGGTTACTTATCATGGGAAGCAGTAGGTAGCTACAGAAACTCAAGGAGAAGAAAAAACAGCTCATTTTTCTCTTGTCTTCACTCTTCTAGTGAATATATCTTACAGTAACATCAGGTCTAAAAGGCTATGAAAGAGAAACCTGGTCTTTTTACTTACCCTTGTACTCTGTATTTTCATATCTAAAGATAAAACAAATCTCCATGAAACCTTCCAATCACCTCCAGAAACTCAGTACAATGTCAACACATGTTTGTGATTGGAAAATAAATGACATGACAGAGAGGTGGCTTTAGAAGTCTACCCAAAGTTCCACTAGCAAGTCATCTAACCCATTTAGGTTGGATATAAAGTTCTTTACTGTAAGGTGGTGAGGCACTGGAATGGGCTGCCCAGGGAAGTTGTGAATGCTCCATCACTGGCAGTGTTCAAGGCTCGGTTGCACAGAGCCTTGAGTGACATGGTTTAATGGGAGGTGTCCCGGCCCATGGCAGGGGCATTGGAACTAGATGATCTTAAGGTCCTTTCCAACCCTAACTATTCTATGATTCTATTTAGTGAAGCAGTGGAAGAGAAAATGAAATATGAGGACAGAACGTATTTTCCATTCCCAAAGAGGAATAGCAAAAATTATAGAATCACAGAATGGTTTGGACTGGAAAGGACCTTAAGATCACCTAGTTCCAACCCCCCTGCCATGGGCAGGGACATCTCACACTAGACCGTGTCACCTAACGCCCTGTCCAGCCTGGCTTTGAACACTGCCAGAGATGGCACATTTACTACTTCTTTGGGCAACCTGTTCCAGTGCCTCACTACTTTACTCTCACAGTAAAGAGCTTCTTCCTTTTATCTAACCTGAATATTCCCCGACTCAGTTTAAACCCATTTCTCTGATGAAGAGTCCATCTCCACCATCCTTGTAGGCCCCCTTCAGATACTGGAAGGCTGCTATGAGGTCTCCATGCAGCCTTCTCTTCTTCAGGCTGAACAGCCTCAACTTTCTCAGCCTGTCTTCATAACTTACCACAGGATAGCTTATATATCAGAGTTAGTTCTACACATTGCACTGTTAATGTCAGTAAAAAAATAAAACAGGACAGGGTAAAATACCTTTAGTGGGGAAAAAAAAAAAATTAAAATTAAACAAGCCAAGGCATTCTCCTGTCTGCATCTAACTCTTTATTCAAATTCAAGCCTCTTTTAGTCATAACACCATAACCAGACAACCCATGAGCTACACTGTACCCAGATGATAATAATCTGAGTAATCATTTGTTATGGTTTAAGCCCAGTGGACATTATTACAGTGCAGAGCAAGCATATTCTTGATAAACAATTTCTGGTGTTAGCATCTAAGATTATACCTAGAAAGTTGCATTAAAAATGACTGCAATTAATACAGAGATTTTTACACCTACATATTAATAAAATGAAACCTTCAAATGCCAACTTTCACTTAACATCATATGGATCAATATGCACAGACTGCTCCTGGTAACTTCTGTCAAATCTTGAAAGAATCTTACACGCAAGAAGGTGAATTGAAGAAAATTAGTTCCACTAGCTACCCTGAAGTCTTTCTGTCTGGTCCAGAATGAAGCATTTTATGAATATCTTTTCTGAAAATGTTACAGAATGGCCTAATCTTGTCAGAGGTATTTTTATCTCATTCTAGCCAGTCAAGAAATAGAACTACAAGATCATTAGTATGCAAATAAAGTACTTGCTCTGGTGTCACCAAGCATAATGTTATTATTAACAAGGACAAATGTTATTAAAAAAACCCTTTCAATTGAATTGCTCCTGTTCAGTCACACTTTGAAACTTTTGGTAAAATAAGTTATTGACACAGTATTTCATATATACTAAACTTTATATGTCATTGCAGAAATAGACACCCTTTGTAGCAACACACTTCAGAGTTTACAAGTACAGATTCAAGGCAAGATAATGCCTATTTAGCAAGTCCAAACACCTTATGAAAAGAGGGTTGGGAAGAAAGATGCATAAATGGGTTTTCCTGGAAAAAAAAAATACAAAAATCAGGCATCTCTTTGCATTTTGCATGAAAGCAGTATAAGCATAAATCAAACAACTTTCTTTTATCAAGATTTTAACTAAACACCTGTGAATTAATCATAGTCTTATGGCAACCCAGTATAAAATGTGTGATCCTAAAGCTTGAATTAATTTAAGCTGCGAGGCAAATTTTGCAATCAGTCATAGGAAACTGCTACAGGAAAAGGCAGTTTAGTTACTTATTTCATTCAACAAATAAATTCAAGCAACTGTTCCTAAAAAAGATTCAGTAAAGCTTGAAAAACAGTAAACAACCAATTAGTATAACGCTAAAGCAAGAAAGACTGAGGGAATCACTGCAGCAGTTCAACTGGGAGGCTTTTATAAGTGCAGTCAGATTTGACTAGGCAAACACTATATACTGGTTCAGGGTCCATGCCCTGACAGAAAGGAATAATTAAACAATGGAAAGAAAAGCATTTCAAGCATTAAGCAGACTAATTTGATTACAGTGTGTTAGCACACTCTTAAAGTGAGGAAATAATATTCAAAGTATCTCTAGCATATACCAGTTTAACAAAAATTTAAGTTTTAAATATAAATAATTTGTTTTAGAAACAGGGGCATTTTCAGCAGTAAGCATAATTATGTACTTCAGTAAGCACATTACAAATTCCCTTACCTCTTGCCTAATTTGAATCCTCAAATCAACATCGAAGTCCCTGTGTCTAGAACATACTTTATATTTTAGGAAAAAAAGATATAAATTAAAAAAAAATCCCCAGTTATTATCACAACTAAACAGTACGTAACACAATTATCTGAAACACAGGAGTTAACATAAGATCCCAGACGTTAGTCCCAAGACAAAACTTTAAATTCAAAATGTCTCTAGGTCCAAATAATTTTTTGGAAAAGTCACTATGAATGAATTATGTGTGCCACTATGCTAAAAAAAAAAATAAATTATAAATCTATTCCTCAAGTAAATTCTACTGATTGCCACTGCTCAGTACAGTAAGTTTTGTTATAATAAGCATCTTGTTTAGTAAGTTAAAACAAATTTGGCCATGTCCTTCAAGTAAGTAATCAACTGACCAATGGCTTCATTATGCCAATCTGTGCACCCAAACTAATAGTTCAGATACAAGAAATGTCAGTTATTCATAAATAAAGAATATATAACTTAGCCAAATGTATTGTACCTTTCAACTTGTTCTCTCAGTTAACAAACTAGAAAAAGCTGTACAGCACACCACATTACCGGGGGACGGGGGGGGGGGGGCAGAGAAACACCAAACAAATCAATGGCAACGCTTATGGTTGCAAACATTAATAAAATGTTCACATGCACACTGCAAGAGAAGACAGCAGAGATGACTTGTTCCATCATAACATCACACATAATTCATACAGTTACATCCAGCAACATCACAATGATTATATAACAATAAACTAAAGATAGCATCATACACTGACTGGTTACGCAGAGAATGGCAATTAAGTTCTTAACTAAAACTAAAAAACTTGACAGGATGGCCATTTGCAAGTCACCAAATAACATGATATTCATTCTGGCAACCTGAAAAAATAGCTTCCCTACCTTAATTGAGCAAATACAGCACAGCACATTTTTGTCCACACACAAGACACACAGAGTGCTTCCCTTCCTAAATCAAAATGTGTTTGTACTGTTCACAAAGATATCACATTTTTCTGCAACAAGGAGAGCCTCAGTTTCAACCAAGAGCGATCCTTACTGCAGTCAAAACATGAGCTTTTTTAATGCAGAGATCTAAGTTTCTGTTAGTCACAAGGACTGTTAATATCAACCTAAATATATGTATGTAAGGATAATAATAAGTCTCCTTCTCGCCACTTCGCAGAGAGGTTGAAGATAATGGTAGAGCTAGCTTAAGGAAGTTCTTCCACTAGCAGCAAAACTACAAAAAAGCCTTGTTTTCTTCATACTTGCATATTTTTTTGCAATCTCAACCAGCATTGTAGTAATGCCAACACACACACCCCTTGATTACCTCCCATTCTCCCCACCACATTTTCAACAATTTCCCCCACTGACTCTGTCAACTTTCTCAACAACTGTGCCCTCTCAACAACTGTGCCCTCTCAACAACTGTGCCCTCTCAACAACTGTGCCCTCTCAACAACTGTGCCCTCTCAACAACTGTGCCCTCTCAACAACTGTGCCCTCTCAACAACTGTGCCCTCTCAACAACTGTGCCCTCTCAACAACTGTGCCCTCTCAACAACTGTGCCCTCTCAACAACTGTGCCCTCTCAACAACTGTGCCCTCTCAACAACTGTGCCCTCTCAACAACTGTGCCCTCTCAACAACTGTGCCCTCTCAACAACTGTGCCCTCTCAACAACTGTGCCCTCTCAACAACTGTGCCCTCTCAACAACTGTGCCCTCTCAACAACTGTGCCCTCTCAACAACTGTGCCCTCTCAACAACTGTGCCCTCTCAACAACTGTGCCCTCTCAACAACTGTGCCCTCTCAACAACTGTGCCCTCTCAACAACTGTGCCCTCTCAACAACTGTGCCCTCTCAACAACTGTGCCCTCTCAACAACTGTGCCCTCTCAACAACTGTGCCCTCTCAACAACTGTGCCCTCTCAACAACTGTGCCCTCTCAACAACTGTGCCCTCTCAACAACTGTGCCCTCTCAACAACTGTGCCCTCTCAACAACTGTGCCCTCTCAACTGTGGCTCTTTAGAGGCAGTCACAACTGAGAGCAGCCACTTTAACTCACCATACTTTGTCATTCCCTCTACTTCTGAATGATTTGTACTACCCACTACTGTTGAATAATACATGCTGTGTTTGACAAAGGAATAAAAAGACCCTGAAGTTCCTACGTGTAGTATGAAGTTTATAATGTACTTATTCTGATTAAGGTAACAAAAAAAAAAAAAAAAAAGGTCAGAAAAAAGGGAAAACAGTATCATTGAGCAACTCACTGCTGTTTTATTCTTTTTTACAGTGCTGGCTCTGCAATACCATTGCAAGACTCCAGGTCTCTGCAATAGCAGACTCCAGTCAAACTTTCAATAGCAAATAAGGCCTTCAAACTCCCTAGTTCTCACCACACTGAGTATTTAATTTTCATAGTTTATTGCTTTAAATATAAATGCACGTATTCAATAAAATTCACCTGAGAAAAATCTAATTCAGGTAAGAGCAGCAAGTTTTACCTTGACTTTTTAAAACAGAGTGCGTACAGTGTGTCTTCATTTAGCAATGAAAAAGTTACGTATCACAATAGCAAAGATTACTTTTAATGTAGAATAACCCCTTTCTTTCTTCCTTTTACTGCATCTATGACTTCCACATATCAGGTAAACTTATAGTGTAATACAGCAAGCTTGCGTTTTAAGAAGGGGGGTGCAAGGGATACAGAAGTCTTTTTACTTCAAGCCAGAGTTCTGGATAAGCTAAAAAGATACAGACAGCTTCTGCCTGGCTTTTAACTTACTCTCATCAAAGGGCCCTCAGCAGGTGTTCTCTACATTTCCTTTAAACATGACAGCACACCTAACATAGCAAACCAGTAGTTTCAACTACCATTAAATATCTTTATTATCAATGAAAGAAAAGATTAGACTTTAAACCACTAATCTCTCAGGACTGCCAACAGTCTTAAATCCATTGCACCTTCAAACACCTTTATCAATACAGACTTCCATTTAGTAACTTTACTTCCACATGTATACTAATTGAACAACAGATTAAAAAAAAAAAAATTGGAGAAATGTTTATTTTATAGCATACAAGACACTTTTTTGGTAATATATCATCTAAGACAGTAGCTGAGAAGTGAAATATTGTCGGAGTTTCAAAATACCATGTCCTCACACATTTCATAGGTGGTACCTAGCTTAGAGCTTCAACGGAAATGCTGCTTCTACTTCTTACAGAGTTTCCCAGACAGTTCAGAAATTCAAGATGGAATTATTGTAGTCCTGGGAGATCATTACCTGACAAAAGCTAAAAAGGCCATCTAGATTAATCAGTCATATGGGAAAAGGAAAATTGAAGCTATTAAAGTAAATACATAAGTTTTGCTTTAGAAATGCTAAGAACTTTCTTGGCAAGAAAGCTTACCTATATGTCAAATATAAAGCTTAGAGATCACCTTCTCTAAATTGTGAAGGTAATCCAAAGAATTAAGAGGAGGTTGGGAAGCTGTAGCAACTAGAAGCTGTATTTTACAGTCTCTTAGTAGCACAACTCTTTCATAGCATCATAATTAATTTCTGCCATTCTAGGCATTAGTACTAGGCTAGCGTAGTGACAAACAGTAAGTCACCTTTAATACAACATTCACAAGTTTTGTCTTGATTTTCTATGGTGACAGCAGAGTTATGATCAAGCTGGCTAGAAATCAAACAGATTTTCCTCAAGAAGTGGTTTATGAAATGCCTTTTTTATTTATTTCCAGGCTTCCTGTTGCAGTACCACTGTGCATCTCTCCAGAAAACTGCCTGACCCTTATCTTAATCATTGTATATGATCTCACCAAGTAACTTCAGTTCTGCACAGGTTCATACTGTCTGAAAGAGACTGCAAAGTATCTACAAGTACAACTTACACTGGAGTAGTAAAGCTACTGGAAGAGTAGAAGGCTTCTATTGGTAGTCATATGGTCACCAATCAAAGAATTTTATGAACTGCAGAGCACCTTTATGAGACACATGATTAAGTATCACAGTTCAGATTCTCACTGGCCCTGCCACTAAAAGAATGAACATAAAATTCATAAGTATCCCACCCAACAACAACCAATAATAATTTTTTAAAAAGCACACTACCTAGCTCTAAAACGACTTTTAACAACTGATTTAGCATATGCCTAATTGTTCACACTGTATAAGAGAAACTAATTTACAACAGAAAATACGTACAAGGGATGCTCCTTAAATATAATGTTCATCTCAGGCTTTTTTTGCTGTGTTTTGGGTTTTTTGGTTTTTGTTTATTTGCTAGTTTGCTTGGGCAACTCAAACCTTTTCATCCACAATCTTAATTCTTCTTTGAAACTCTGGAAGATAATTATGTAGGATTATTTTGAAAGATACCAAACAAACTATTTCCAGAAGAAAATTCCAGTCTATACTAAGATAATAAAAAAGATTTCCTTGAACTGGTTTTCCAGAGACAGGAAATTACTAAATTGATTTGACACAAAGCATACAGAGACTGACAGCTTTTTAACAACTAAAGCCAAATAAACCACAAAAAAAAAAAAAAAAAACCCAAGACATGTGAAATGTGAAGCAACAGAAGAACATCCGAGTATTTCATAAACCATAAGAATAAAATCTCCTGTGAGCCCTATCAACTTCAGAACACGATAAGCTTTCCACACAGGGTACTGCAAAGCAACACCCAACACTCAGACTAAAAGTGACCAACTTCAGAGACCAGATCTGACAACACCACAACTCACCAAAACTCAGTGGTTGAGGAAACATCAGAATTTTGTAATATCATACATTGTATGTGTGTGTGTGTGCACGCATGAGTGTATACCCTTAAACATTAAAACAACTCACACCATAGGCATTCCATATTTTACCAATGTATACCACTTAATTTCTTATTTCCCACAAGACCTTAAAATCCCGTATGTCGCTCAGATACACAGCACTGAAGCCACATTCTGGCACAGCTGAGGTCATACACACCTGGTACATGTCCCCTCCACTAACTAGCTTGGTGGAAATGGTATCTCAACCACTATCAACCACCACCCCACCTCCCCAAAGCGACCCTTTTTCCCAAAGCAAGCCGTGGAGGTCTGGAGCCTTGCAAACGCAACCCTAAATAGGAAGAAGTACTGAGGGACAATGCGGGACAGCTCCATACACCCCAGGTCCCCACGGGCAGCACCACTTTGTCCGCAACTGAGCTGCCCCAGCGTGTGCCACTCCACACAACAGACACCTCATCTCGGGTTAGAGAAGGGCGGACTGGGGGTGCCGAGGCTTCCTTTCCCCCGGAAGACAAGCGACACCTCCCGCTGGAGCAGGGGAGGGAGGCTACAAGGGGAGCTGTCCATAAAAAGAGAAAAATAGCGACAGACGCTTAACCTGGCGCCCGTAAGACTCCCTCAGCCGGGAGGGGTGTTTGAGGCAGAGAAGCCCATACAAAACTCAACCTCTTTTACTAACACCTCGTCCCTCCCCCAGAATATAGCGTGCTCGCTGCAGCACGGAAAGTTCAACCACCGTGTGCCCGCCCTCCCCCGCCAAACCCCAGACACGGAGGACAGAAGGCCCGCTCCTCCGCAGCTCCCCGCCCCGCACCCTTCCGCACCCCCGTGCCGGGAGCGCCCTCGCAATCCCCCACCGCAAACATCTCAGAGAAAAGCGGGATAAGGCCGACCGGCCCCCAAGACCCTCGCCTGGCCTCGCACGGCCCGCAGCGCCACAGCGGGGTGGGGAAGGCCAGTACCCCGGCCCAGCCACCGGAGAACCCCCACGCCCCCCCTTCCCCGCCACGCCACGCCACGCCGCGGCCCAGCACTAACCTTACAGGGGAGGGGCGCGGTCGCCTCTCGGGGCTGGCGGGGGTTTTCCTCCCCGCCGCCGCCACCGACCCTCCGCTCCCCGACCCGTCCTTCCCCAGGCGCCGCCACAGAGAGAAGGCAGAGGACGCGAGCGCGGTGGCGGGGGGCAAGGAGGAACACCAGCCCCTGCGGCCCTGCCCCGCTGGGAAATTACAGCGGGGAAAAAGGGGGGGCGGTGAGGGGGGGGGGGGATGAAATTAAAAGGCTCGGCCCGGAGTTTAAAACAAAGAGGCGGAAATAGCCGAGCGCGGCCCGAACGTAGCCGAGCGGGGGCGCCGCGCTCAATGGCGCATGCGCGCGGGACGCTCACCCTGGCACGGCTTCGGCCGCCCCCTTCCTCTCTAGAGCTGCAGCGTTGGTCCGCCCTCGAGCGTGTCGCGCGTGGGTGTCCCCCGCTGGTCGGGTGTGAGATGACCGCCGCGGGCAGTCCCGGCGGCAGAGCGGGGATCCCGGCAGTGCAAATCCATTAGACCTGTGCGCAGAGCCAGGCTGGTGGAGGGGACTGAGTTACTGAGTTTTCAGCAGGTTTTCCTCAAAAGCACACAGGTGCTTTTTTAACTGATGACCATCCTTGACAACTTGCTAACAAACTGCGGGTAGGTCAGAAACTCCAGCTGATGAAATGAAGATTTTGGCTTCCTGAAAGCGGAAAGCTGTGAGGCCTTAGGTTAAGGAGCGTGCATAAAGCTTGGGAAGCCCGCACCAAGTTCTACTTCACACCAAGTGGCTGAATAGTAAGGACAAGTACTTAAAAATTCAGTTGAACCTGGGGCTGAACAACCCCAACTCTCTCATACGAGCCTTTCCTCATGAGAAATGCTCCATCCCTCCTGATGATTTTTGTGGCTCTTTCTGGACCCTCTCCCAACAGGCCCATGTCTTTCCTGTACTGAGGACTCCAGAGCTGAACACAGTACTCTCAAGTGGAGTCTCACAGGAGCAAAGGGGCAGGATCACCTCCCTTGACTTGCTGGCCATGCTTCTTTGGATGCAGTCCAAGATAGCAATTGTCTTTCTGGACTGCAGGACTGCGGTGACCTTTAGCCAGCCAAGGCAGTGGTTTGCTCTTTTTAAAACCTTGTTACCCCAATATCAGTTCTAATGCTTTCTGCAAAGTCATTGAAGAATGTGGTAGCCTGTGATATTTCTGAAATACATGCTTAGCCAGTGACTACACTATCTAAGATCATAGCCGAGTAGAGACAAGTGCCTTGTCTAAACTGCAGCACTTCTTATTAGGAAATAAGTGAAACTTTTTTGTTAGCATTGCAGTCAGTCTGTGATCTGTGATCAAATTACAGAAGTTCAGCACATGACTCAGGGAACTAGGAATAACATTTAAAGAATTTTTCTTTTCCCCACGAGCTTTACCTGCCGTAGTCATCATAGTTTTCATACAAGTAAAAGCATAATGTGAACACAGGTAAATTGAAGCTCTATCTCCTGGAAGCATGTATTTGCTAGTTGGAAAAAAAAATCACAGGCAAGAATCTGAGACCTCTTGACAGGAAAAAAAAAACATCAAACATCTCAGGTGAAAGAAGTTCATTGTCTTCTTTAGGACTCATAACAGTGAAAAGGTATTGGTCAGGATGAACACATTGATAGTAATGGTACAAACAGGAAAATGGCTAGAAATACAGCAAAATGGCTGTTTTCATGAGCAGTTGTAAAGCGCAAAGTAGGCAAATGTATGACAAAATTATTCTAGTTTAAGGCTGACCATGATACAATGTTTACAAACAGCAAAGATAAGGACTAATATTTCCAGTAGCTGCTCAGAACAGTAGAGCTGCATTGACCCCATAGGTCATGGACTAGATTGGTTGCATCCAAGGGTGCTGAGAGCCTGTTGGTACCACTGCAAGACAAATCCCTGTTACCTCTGCAAGATCATGGTGACTGGGGGAGTGCCCCAGCACTGGAGAATTACATTTCACTCATCTTTAAAAACAGCAAATTACAGCCTTCCTTTGGTCAATGAGAGACTCATGGAGCAAGTCCACCCACGCTATTTCTGAATGTGTGAAGAAGAACATGTCTTACTGAAGACAGACATAGAAGACAACCTAATTTTCTTGAAGAATGGATAAAATTACTGGGTTTGTGGACGCCAGGAATGTGGTGGGTGTTGTATAATTAGACTGTAGCAAGGTTTTTGATACAATATCCCACAGTATTATTGCACCACATTAGGACATTATGGCCTGGATGACTACTGGATGACTACTGGATGGGTGAAATACTGGCTGGAGTGTTGGTCTGAAAGAATACTGGCTAATGGGTCATAGGCTGGTGACAGAATGAAATTCTTCAACAGTTTTCCCTTGGATCTGTTTAATAACTTGGGACCTGGACATACAGAAATAAGTTTGTGGACAACAGCAAAGAAAGTGCAGTCTATATGCCTAAGGACAGATGTGTCATTAGAAGTGACCTAGACAGGTTGTGGGAATAATATTCGACAAAGTCCTGCACCTGGAACAAACTTAACTTCCTGCAGCAGTACAGGCTGGCATGTGACCAAGTAGCTGTAAAATAGGTCTGTTGAAAACACTTTGTGAGTTCTTGGGGATAATAGACTAAACATAAACCACCAGTTTCCCTGTCATTGGTGAGAATTAACAGCATGTTGTTGTGTATTAACAGGTCCGTACATTGAGGAACATGGCTGTTCCTCTTGGCACTTGTTAGAACAAATCTGGCATAGTGTGTCCAGTTTTGGGTGCACCAATAGGAGAAAGATACTAATAAACTTGATCAAGTCCAGCAGAGGCCACCAGGATGGTAATAGGTCTGGAGAACATCTCCTACAAGGAAAATCTGAGGGAACTGGAATAGTTCAGCCTGAAGAAGAGATGGCTTCATGGGGACCTAATAGCAGCCTTCAATACTTACAAGGGTGGCCACCTACAAAATGCAAGAGCAAAAACCTTTAGTGAGGCAATTGCCAGGAGAATGAAAGCCAGTGGTCATAAAGTGCATTGGGGAAGAATCTGATGGGACAGAAAGAAAAAAAAAAAATCACTCTTGAGGATAGTTAAACTTTGGAAGAGGTTTCCCCAAGAGGCTGTACTTTGTGCGTCTGTGGAGGTTTTCAAGACAGGGCTGGGCAAAACCCTGCTTTAACAAAGAGGTGGTACTAGAGACCTCTGGATGTCCCTTGCCATATAAATGTTTTTGTAATTCTGAGATAAACTGTAAAGCAGGGAAATCAAAATTGTCCAGGAAAATTAAGATAAACAGAAGAAAGAGTACCTAAAATGGCTGAATCATTCTGGTCACACAGCAAATTTCTGAAACTGTTCTTTTAAATGATGTTTGATAGACTGTTCTAGGAGACTAAACTTTGTTAGTTAACTGTTGGTTGCTTTTTCCATGCTTCATCTTTCAGCTTGGCTGTTACTAGATCCTGACAGATCCTCACCAATTACTGGCACTCTGACTACAGATAATTACTTGTTAGTTGGATCTGAAAATTCAGATAATTTCTCATCACCCCTTTCCCAGTTATAAATCTTCAGTTAGCACTGGATTCACTTAGATTGCTTAACTTAGGTTCAAATAACAGGCAGCAAGCAAAACACTGTAGTAGTAACCAAAGATCTCACAGGTGGGCTCCAAACATTCACCAGCTTTTGTCTTCTAGATGAATGTACTGTGCACTAATTATTTGGGTAAGCTGTTCTTACGGAAGGATCTACAAGATTTGGGCATTAACATCCCAAAACTATTACATCAGAACCACACACTATACATGTACATATACATACAGATTTATAAATTAAATCCTATATTTTGAAATGTAACTTTTTACACCTTTCACACTATCAGGTTTCTTTTGTAGATACTTGCATAAAGGTGTGCAAGTTTTCCCCTCAAATGCAATACATATTATATAACTTATGCATTATAGATTATATATGTTATAGTATTGTTAATATGTATATTATTATATATTTATATTATATATAATATATATATATATAAATCGCTGAGGTGAGTAGCTCGAGAAAGGACGCCTTCAACACCGGAGCAGGGGGAAGCTCAGAGTCCAGGAGCCTCAACTCAGAACGGCGAGAGCCACCGAGGGAGCCTCAAGTCCTCGACAGCACCTGCCTAGGAGCCGGCAGCTCAGCTGACGCGAGCAGGGACTCACAGGGGGCGGAGCCAGGAGGAGCGGCACCAGCCCTGAGTGGGTAAAAACCTGCCCCAGGGAGGGCGAGGAATCAGGGGCACTGGCAGGCGAGCAGTTGCCAGATGATCAGGGCCCGGTTTGGGAGCTCAACTCTGGCTGCCTGGAGGTGGCCAGCGTAAGCACCCCAGACAGAGCCGATGAGAGGGAAGGCTGCAGCACAGAGCTCGGGGTGCAAAGAGTGCCTGCGCTAGTCTTGTGGGGGAAAGGTACACAATGGGCAGGGCTGCACTGGGTGCTCCCTGGTGGAGGTCCTCCTGCAGGAGGTGGCTGAGCTGCGGAACGCTGTAAATAGGCTGCAAGATGTCAGGGAAGCTGAGAGGAAGAAGGACTGCTTGCTCCAGGCCCAAGCTGTGCAGGGGCCTCAAGCGTCCCCTGTAGTTCATGCAGGAAACAAGGAGGTCGTTAACCCAGGAAGCTGGGAAACAGCAACAGAAAAAAAAAAAAATAAAAAAAGAAATGGTGGAAGAGGACAATTAAAAGCATGGGGCTTCCTCCTAAATCCATCGTCCCCACCCAGAACCGTTTTGCTGGCTTCCAGGGGGCTGATGAGGAAACGCTCTCACACCAGAAACAACCAGCTAGTGCACTGCTAAAGAGGATCACTACTAGTGCTGCCAGGAAAAAGGGGCGGGTTGTAGTAGTAGGGGACTCTACTTTGAAAGGAGCAGAGGCACCCGTCTGCAGGCCTGACCCAGTCTCAAGGGAGGTGTGTTGCCTACCAGGGGCATGGATCAGGGGTGTTGCAGAGAGGCTGCCTACTTTAGCAAGCCCCACTGACTATTATCCACTTCTAGTGATCCATGGAGGGGCTGGTGATATAGATAGCAGTAGCCTGGGGAACATAAAGAAGGACTACAGAGCCCTGGGAGAAGTAATTAGGGGCTCTGGAGCTCAGATAGTCTTTTCATCAGCTCTCCAGGATAGAGGAGAGAGAGTACCCCAAAAAGGCTAGGAGGATTGGCCAGGCTGATAAATGGTTAGAACAGTGGTGCCATAGTCAGGGGTTTGGGTGTCTTGAACACGGGACCCAAGTTAGTAGGCCAGGTCTACTGGGGGCTGGTGGAGCTAGAGTGGTTTTGGTAG